ACCTCACCACCTACCTCACCACCTACCTCACCACCTACCTCACCACCTACCTCACCACCTACCTCACCACCTACCTCACCACCTACCTCACCACCTACCGCACTCACTCACTCACTCACTCACTCACTCACTCACCCACTCACTTCGCTTCGCTTCGCTTCGCTTCGCTTCACTTCACTTCACTTCACTTCACTTCACTTCACTTCACTCACTTCACTCGCTCTCACATCACTCACTCACACTCTCACTCACTCACTGTACATGAACATACATACATACACACAAACTCACCCACCATCACCGCTCCATCACTCTTATACTTCCTCTTCCCTTCTTGCTCTTCTATGGTCAGTCTAAGTCTAAAGAAGTTGGTAACATGTGGGGTTATCCGGTCCTTTAATTCCGAGTTTGTATTTTTTTCTTGTACAAACGTTGCGCCTTGCAGATTTTCAGCAGTTTTCAGCCTACCTCCCCACTGCCCAACAACCCCCACCATTTCACGTTGTCTTGCAGGCTGGTGCTGCCCAAGAAACAAAAAACATGTGGTCGCAGATGTGCGTGAAGAAGTTGACACAGGAGCCATTGCAGTGGAGAGCCCCCCGGATTCAGTGATCTCCATCTCAAAAGATTCAGATGGGTTGTTGGGGGCAGTTGGTGGGCTCTCCCCTGTTGATTTGGAAATCCATGGAAATTCACTCGGTCTGGATTGCAGTGATTCGGTTTATGTCGTTCAGATTTGGAAACCGGTCTTTGGAGCTGCAAACACCATGGCCACCCCCTTCCGAAATCTTCTGAAGGGATGGAGATGATGGAGTGGATGATGACTTTGTTACGTCAGGACTGGAAAGATTCTCTGCCCAACTTCCAGAGAGTGGACAGCGGAATGGACCGCTGCATTTACTGTAAGGCCAGGCACCACGGATGTCAGGGACGTGAAACATGTGGGAGAGGTAAAGTATGTTGAGGTCCCAAACTTGGAGGTTTCTCAGGATCTTGAAGTCGGTCTTTGTAAACGTTGAAGATGTTCAAGATGGTCGATGGTTGAATTAGGTCCTCTTTGGCGTGTCCCTCGTGTGAGACACGGAAACGCATGTGTACAGGCATGACTCATGACCCCAGAAGAACATCGCATAGAGCTGCAAGGTCACCAGGTCTTCAAGTCATGTGTTGACATCCGAAGACCGGGTCCTGGGTCCTGAAGTCATGTTGTAAGGTCTCCAGCTCTTCCAAAGTCTTCTGCCTTTCCCTTGTCTCCAATTTTCCAGTGGTCCATCCTGGTCCTATTTGCCAACTTTGCTTGCAGAGACAAGGGTTGTGTCGTAAGATGTTTTGAACGTCAAAGTTGGAGGGGTGTGAGACACGCCAAACACGTCAAACACGACTGAGTCATACTAAGTCATAGTATTGAGATGTATTGAGTATGCCACGTTCATATTGCTCTTGCAGCATTTCTTGCCTGGCAACTGGGCTCCTTGCCAGGACCAGATCCCAGCCTTTTCGCCATCACTGCAAGGAGCGAGCGAGAAGGGGTTGGGTTCTGGGTTTCCAGAGTCATGTCTGCACTCTTGAAAGTCAACCGCACAGAAGTGTGGTTATACACCTTGGGAGAGATTGTTGAGAGTGGGGATTGAGGATTCCTGAAACATGTCTCCACTTGGATGAACTGCTGAAACTTGGCAAGTCGATGGAAGTCGGGCATTTGCAGCGTATGTTTGCGAAGCATTCTATCACCACGAGCTGCGAGACAAGTAGACTTGTTGTAGACGGCATCTCGCGTCCCTGTACCCGTCATGTCGTTCCCTCAGCAGCTCGCCAGGAAGACTGTCACTCTCCAGCAGGCATATGATGCTGAGACGCAGCGACTCCTGCAGGTTTGGGTGACTGAGATCAAGGAGAAATTCATCCAAAAATGCCAAGCTGCAGCGGATCAGCGGCAGTTTTCCTGCCGCATGGATGTTAACCGTCCAGACCATCTGTCGTCCAGGGATGTTCGTGAAGACCTCTTGCAGCAGCATCTCCAGGGCATTCTGGCGGAGTTGGGCTTCCGGCATGGAGCTGTCTCTCCTTTTTTTTGGAAGCAGGTGCCTTGCCGTCGAGGCTACGCCTGGGTTCGCTGCACCCGTCTGACAGCCAATTGGGACGCAGATGCGCCCTCAGCCGCCCCTAAGTTGAGTGATTCAGAGCTCTTTCTGGCACACTTTAGGGCCACTCTGGAGGGGTACAGACTTGAAGAGGAGTCCAGGTTTCGAAAAGTTATGTCTGTCGCTCATAGATGACGAAATGGCGTGAAGGTGGACGATGCAACCTCCACCCGCCCACCGCCCAGCAGCACCTCCGCGACGTGTCCTATTTGTTGGCAGCATGGCCCTGCCGTGGTCCTGATGCCCTGTGGCCATGTGCTTTGCCGCTACTGCCATTTTACCAAGGATCTGCAACGCTGCCACGTGTGCCATGCTAGGATCAATGGCTTTCGGGGGCAGGGTCGTCGTAGATGAGATGATCTGGCCTGGCACATGGCAGTGAACGGTTTGATGCAGTTTTGGGCTGTTGAGTCAGTTGAGGTCTTTGTGAGGCTCTCCTTGTCTCAAGCTGGATGCTTCATTCTTCCTGTGAGAAATTGATGCAAGATATGATGCGTGCATATAGCCATAAGTTCATGATAGTGCGGGTCCTCTCCTACAACATGTGATGGGTAGGATTCACTTGTCAAAATCCATGCCTGCACACTCCAAAAGTCAACAGTCTCGCCTCGTGTCAAAGACTTCATGCATATGAACTTGGTTTGAGTGGCAGTGGGAGAGGATTTTAGCATCCATTTTAGTCAACGTTCCACTTATCCCTCGAAGAGTCTTCATGGCAATGCAATATTTGCCATTCTGACTCACAATCTCACTTCTGATTGGAGCCGGATGCTAGACCATAGCACTCGCGAGGCTTTGCGATTGATCCATCCAATTGAAAGCCCACAAGTGGCTTGCAGATGCTTGTAGTGCATGGTAGAGAAACGCGCAAGAAAGATGCAGCCCTGTTGTGCCAGTCAGTAGTAGTTGCTTTGTTCCACCACACCAGAAGTTGGTCTTCGGCCTGGGGTAGGTGCCAGCATCATGCGCATTTTTGCATGACACTTTTCGACTGTTCATTTTGGACTTGCAGCAAGACTTTTCTGGTGTGTTTGTGATTTGACCGTTGCATGGGGTCTCCGCCCCGTCCTTGCCCTTTTTGCCAGGACTTTCTGATCGAGTTCTGTGCCTTGGGACTGGAGGCGAGGGCGGGCATGGCACTTGATACGTTTTGAGTTTTGATGTCCAAGAGAGGTGCAAAGATATGAGTGCCAGTTGCGCAGCATAGATGGCGCATGGATTCTGAAGACAAATCAAGGGTTTTGAACAGTGAAAAGTGAAACATTGAAACTGCTCAAGAAAAGTCTCGAGTTGCAGTGCAAGGCGGAGTTCCCGATCCCAACCGATTCGTTGAATGTATTTGGTTGCGTAACTTTAGAGCCACTCAGATTTCAACCTCTTTCAGTCTTGTGGCATGTGTTTTGGTGTTGTACGATCTCGGCCTACAACCTCATCATGCCACGGCCCAGGAACTCAGAAAGCTGAGTGAAGGCGCTGGTGAAGAAGTTGACGCAGGAACCATTGCTGTAGAAACCTCGGGCGGGACTTATTATTGGAGCAGTTTCTTTCTAGATGATTTGCAAGGCATCCCATTTCCCAAGTGCAGTGTAAACGCGAACTTGTACTCGTCCCAAAGGTGCAGCTGCACATATTTTCGTGTTGTTTTATCCATTTGGACAGTGGCTGCCGTTGATCGAGATTTAAAGTTCTGGAAGCAATCCAATACGAAGAAACCACCATTGGAGACACGATGTTCATTCTTGGAGATCATTTTTTCTGGATGGGTATCATAACGGGGTCGCTTCTTGACTCTCCAAATTTCAGTTCGACTTGGGATGAGAATCCGGAGGCTGGTTTCAGTTGGAGTTCTGGTGGAACCCCACCAGTTCTGCTGGTTGCTGTTTTGCCTATGAAGCATTTTCATTTTCATGATCATGCATTTTCTCTGTCAGGAGCTGAAAAGCTTGGCGGAAGGGTCGAATTCAAGGCCAGGCGCCGCATAACAAGACGTCTGAGGGTGATATGTGACTTTACTATAAACCTTGCTATTGTTTCAGAGGGCTGGTTGTTCCTTCGATCTCGATGTTGTTCTTGATTTCTGTGAACCACTGTCGACCAAGTTCGGAGACTTGAGATCCATGCAATCTTTTGTGCCCTGATTTGGCCTTCGCAGTTTGATGTGGAGATAGGTTTCCTCTGGATTATCGGCCAAGACTCAGATAGTCGAAATTTTGACGTTTTATCATGTTTTATCGACTGTTGAGATGTGTGGAATATTCTTGAGCTTTTGCAGCCGCATTTGCCAGGTGGCAGCTCGCCACGGGTTGATCTCATGCAACTTTGCCATCGTTGCAAAGGAGTGAGTGAGAAGGGGTTGGGTTTCCAACTGGGCTGGGTTTCCATCATCATGGCGAATGTTTAAGGAGATTGTTGAGATTGGGGATGATTTCTGAAACATGTCACCGGTATGAAGAATTGCTGAAGCTTAGACAGTTGATACACGTCATGTATTTGCTGAATTTGTTTGTCAAGAAGGGGCACTGAGCGAGCTAGGCTTGCTGTAGACATCCTGGGATATCCGGGTGCATCCGTCAGCTCATCTGTCATGTCGTTCTGTCAGCACATTATAGCTTCAACCTGGTTTAAATTCTCTGTGGTAACCAAGCAGCTAGCATTGAATGCGTGCAGTGTGAATCACGCGGTGCACCTTGAAGCCACTTGCTCCGAGGACTGCTTCGCCCGTTTTTTCTCAGCCTTCTGCACTGCATGGCCTTCGCTCAGCGGTTGGCAAAGAACCTCAACACCTATGCTGCGGAAACTCATCGCTTGATAGAAAAAAGGTTTGCTGACGTAAGGGAGCACTTCATGGAAAGATGCGAGGCCGCGTCGAAGAATGGAGAGTCGTGCGACTGGTGTGACTATAGTTTTGACCGTTTAGCAGAGAGACGAGATTACGACGAAGACGTGGTCAAGAGGAAACTTGAAGAACACCTAGCCGACTTGGGCTTCCAAACTTTGTCAGTCCGGAGCGCGAACAAGATTGATTATTTACAGGTGACTGCCTCTTGGAGTGCAGATGCCGGGAGTTCCCGCAAAAAGAAGCACAGCAGTCGCCCCTCCGGTGGCACCAGCGTGACGTGCCCCATCTGCCACGAGCATCGCCCAGCCGTAGTTCTGGTGCCCTGTGGCCACGTGGTCTGCCGCGACTGCCACTGTGGCCAGCAGCTGCGCCAGTGCCCCATGTGCCGGGCGGCGATCAAATCGACCAGCCGTGGGCTCTTCATGGACTGAACCTGGTGGGGCCGGTGGTGGTTGCTCTGGCCTTGATTGGCTGGTTTCGAGGGTGATCCTGCAATGAAGTGTCGGATGGTTGAGACGTTTGGTGGCCAGGCCCTTTGAATTTCAATCTGGACGCCTTGTGTTTTTTGGTGTTGCCCCACAGTGAGAGGGCGTGGCAGCTTGCCCGAACTGGAGTGTGGCTTTGATTTTCAAGCATCCCTTCCACAACTTTTCTTTCAGTAAAGAAACAAATATTATGGATTTTGGATGATTCTGGTGCCTGATCCGTTGTGGCAATCAAAAAAGAAGTCGGAAGGATGCGCCTCAATGATGAGCTTGTGTTCGGGAATAGCCAGATGCTAGAAAGGCTCGGTCCATCTCAGTCCTTTTTAAGCATCCGTGTCGATGCCCAAAAGCGGTGTTCGACCTTAGCAGCCGTGAGTGCATGTGAAAGGCGAAGAAAGGGGGCTTCCGCTACTGGCATCGATGCATATCGTGCACCTCCAGGGAGCTGTAAAAGGCGGAGAGTTGCTGAGCTTGGATGAACCAATGATGATCGAAGTTTTTTTTTTTACTGCGGATATATACATGCATATACATATATACACTGTACTTGGTTTATCATTATACTGTATATTTAGATTATACAGTTTATACATTGCAGTGGTTGGAATGGAAAGGCGCCACAAACAGTGTCTCAATCCACAGCCTCCATGACAGGTTCAATTCCCTTTACAACCAAACAACTGACAGTGAAAGTATCAGATTATCACACATGGTGCACCTTGAAGCCCTTTGAATCCAGCAGGAGGAACTTAGACTGCGTTGCGCTTTGATTGCAGCCTTCTGCATGGCATTTGCTCAGCAGTTGGGGAGGAGCCTCAGGGCCTATGCTGTTGAAACTCAGCGCTTGATGGCCAAAGATGTTGCTGACGTAAGAAACGAGTTCATGTGGCTCTGTGAGGCTGCATCGAAGGCTGGCGAGTCGCGGTGCTGTCATGAATATGACTTTAGTCTATAAGCAGAGAGAAAGGATTGCCGGCAAGACATGGTCAAGGAGAAACTTGAAGAAAACCTGGCCGACTTGGACTTCCAAACTTTGTCAGTGTCGAGATTGTGAGCTGGCTAACATGTCGTGTCACCGCCTCTTGGACTGCAGATACTGAGACTTGCTGCGAAGAGAAGCACAGTCCCTCCTCTAGTCAGACCTCCGCCACATGTCCCATTTGTCACGAGCACCGCCCAGTCGTGGTCCTGGTGCCCTGTGGCCACGTCGTTTGCCACGACTGCCATCATTCCAAGCTGCTGCGCCAGTGCCCCATGTGCCGGGCCGAGATCGTATTGGCAACCCAGGGCCTCTTCATGGTCTGAACCTTGTGGGCTGTGCTACGCACCTGGCTGGCTTTGGTGGGCTCTTGTTGGTGAGAGGATTACAACCAACAGATGACGACAAGGAAAGGTGCTGTGTTTTGCATGGTTGAAAAACTCGGTTGCGGCTCCCTTTGTCTCAAGCTGGATGGCTTGTGAGTCCTGAGAGAAAATTAATGCAAGCTATGACGCGTGCACAGCCATAAGTGCATGTGTCCTCTCCTACACTTGATACTTGACACATCGTGATACAACATTCGTTGAAGCTCAAGTTCGCACTTTGCGACATACCAGCATCTACGTACAGTAGCGCTCACCTGGGTAAGGATTTCATGTCCACATTTCACATCGTAGGACTTGGCTTCAGTGAGTTTAGGAGAGGACTTTAGTCTACGTTCCACTGGAGTCTCCACGGCACTGCGGTACGAGTGCAGATCTTGCCATGCTGGCTCGCAATCTCACTTCCGATCAGAGCCAGATGCTAGACCCTAGCGCTCAGGAGGCTTCCGATTCACTCCCCCAATAATTGAAAAAGCCTAGAAGTGGCTTGCAGCTGCGTTTATTGCGTGTGACAAAAACGATTAAGAAAGATGCAACCCTGATTTCTGCCATTCAGCTGTTGCTTGTTGCTAAAACATCAGAAGCTGCGCTGTTGCTCTTCAGCTCTTTTGCATTTTGACGTTCACGATTCCCAACAACATCCCAGCATGACCCTTATTGTCAAGAACATCCCAACATCATCCTTTTCAATTTCTAGAAAAGGCAAGTCATTTGCCCTTCCAGTCACTCTTGTCAGGACTTTCGCAGGGAGTTTGTGGTTGAAGCATTTGGTGCAGTTGGAGGCGAGCACGGACAATTGGTGCGTTTTGATGCCAATTCATGCGAACCAGACTGAAAGACGCCCCACTATTTGTACTCGTATCTATTTGTGATGTTTGTGTGCCAGTAGCACGACATATGTGCTGCATGGATTCTAGTGGTGACCGATTGCAAAAAGCTGGTGACGATTTGAAAATGACGGATGTCACTTGAGAAGTCGAAGCTTCCCCAGCATGACAAACAACCGAAACCTACGATTTACATCGATTTACTGGGAACCGCGCGAACCCAGATTTATAGGACAACCGACAATTGAAATACCATTTAGATACGTTGGGAACCTTGGAAACCTAAAGCTCCGTAGCTTGGCCATCGACCTCGAGAACCTATCTCTTGGTAATCAACCTTGCCCGAGAGTTTCCTGAACATCGAGAATTTCCGCATGGCATTTAGAGAGTTGCATTATTCCGACGTCTCAAGGTCTGTGGGTCCTGAACTTGGGTTGTCAGGTCTGTCATTGTTAGTTTAGCAGCGCTTGACAACTTGGCCAGAAGTTCTGTTGTAAGATGGATTGAATTTGTCAAGTTGGAAGGAGGTGAGAGATACCAAGCTTGCTAGACATGACCCACCTATACCATCCTATACCAAGCAACCAATACTATCCAATACTAAGATTCTGGGCTTTCCTGCAGGTGAAACCGGGTGAAGCAGGATCTCCAGCCATTTTTGCCATCGCTGCACAGGAGTGGGTGAGAAAGGGGTTGGGTTTCTAACATCATGTGCCTCCTTGGAAAGTCACAGACACAGACAATGTGGCTGTTTTGGGGCGATTGTTGAAATTGTGGATGATCGATTTCCACTAAGTGTCTCCAGATCGACTTGCTGCTGAACCTTGGCCAGTCGTGTGGTTGTTGCATTTTTGCATGCCGCATTTTGCCGACAGCAGGTGTGAGAGGGCTAGGCTTGCTGTAGACAGCATCTCGGGAGTGTCCGTGTCCCGTGTCCATCATGTCCTTCCGTCAGCAGTTGGCAACGCAGACCGTCAATCTGAAGCAGGCGTATGACGTGGAGACGCAGCGATTGACGCAGCAGTGGGTGGCGGAGACCAGGGAGAAATTCATCCGAGAATGCCAAACTGCATCCCAGCAGCTGCAGTTTTCCTGGAGTATGTTTGTTGACTGTCCTGGCCACCTGACACACGTTTCTCTCGACCTCTTGCGGCAGCAGCTCCAGGGCGTTCTGGTGGACCTGGGCTTCCAAGATGGAAGTGTCTCTGCATTTGACATTGACTACCGATTAGGAAGGTACAGAACATGCATGACCGCAAAATGGGCCGCTGAGGATGCGACCTCCACCAGCCCCGAGCGGAGCCCCAAAGCCGCAAGCGGCACCTGCGTGACGTGTCCCATTTGTCACGAGCATGGCCCAGCTGTGGCCTTGGTGCCCTGCGGCCACGTGCTCTGCCGCGACTGCCATCGTTCCAAACAGCTGCGCCAGTGCCCCATGTGCCGCAAGGTGATCACTTCGGCCACCCAAGGGCTCTTCATGGACTGAGCCCTGTGGGCTGGTGGTGGTTGCTAGGCACCTGGCCTTGGTGGGCTGAATCTTCTTATCCTCTTGGATGAGAGGATCCTTCGGCAGGAAGAGGTGCCTCGCTTTTTGAATCTTTGAGACATTTGGCTCTGGCCTTTTTGAGATGGATGCCAGATGGTTCTTTGATGCCCAACAGTCAGTGGCATAGCAGGTTTGGATCTTCGACACCTCGGGGTATGAGGCTCTCCCGGTTTTACCTTATGATCTTTTTTGCCCCCGCAGTGAGAGGGGCATGGCACCTTCCACAAACAGGTAGTGTGGATTTGATTTTGAAGCATCCCTTCCACAACTTTCAGTTAAGAAAAAAGAGCACTTGGATTCATGGCGCCCTGTCCATTTCTGATTTTGTTTGTGGTGCTCACCAAAGAAGTGGGAAGGATGTGCCTCAATGATCAGCTTCACTTCCGAAACAGTCGGATGCTAGAAAGACCCAGTCCTTTTTAACCATCCGAGTCGATGCCCAAAAGCGGTATTCGACCTTGCCACAGAGATCACAGGTGAAAGGTTGAAACAAGAGTCGAGATGGACTGCTCCTTGTCCTTGGGCCCATGAATCCAGTTGAGTATCAAGGGTGGAGAAGTGATGAGTTTGGACAAATCGTTTAGCAAAGTTGCCAATTACTCATTGACCGCGAAAGGAGGGATTGCACCTTCTTCAAATCATGTCTGGGGATGGCATTCCCTCTCCGCCAGGACCGTCTGATGGATCGGCCTCAGGCCTTGGGTCTGTATGGGCGCTGGTAACCAATCCAACATGAAGACATGGCTACAATTAGAGAATGGCGCGCTTTTCTATCCACATGGGACCCGTGAGCAAACATGGGAAGTGATCTCTGTAAGATGACGCAGGCACTCCGGCTGCTTGAAACCGTTGAAATCAAGGCTGGACGCCACGGCTGATGACGGCCTAGGGTGGCCGGGTCGAAAGGTTTCAAAGTTTCGCAGATCTCCGCCACTGTTTGGTGCTGAAGCTGGTGAAGCTTCAAAGGTAGGGAAAGTAATTGGGCAATGATGCACAGTCTTAAGATGCTTCAAGTTTTTGTGGGTTTTGTCATGTTTTCTTTGTTTGAAGCACGAAGAGACAAAATCTTGTGATGCTTTTTGCATCACACTTGATAGTCCAGGAATATATTGATGGTGGCACTTGGCACGGAAATTAGCTTGGAATGCATACTAAGCGCTGCAATCCATAGCCAGCACATCGTTGCTAAGCACTGTAGCTCCTGGAAGTTTTTTTTTTTTTTCCGATGCTTGATAGCTGAAGTTTTGTTCTGTGATCAGCCTTGACATGCATGTATGGCAGATTTGGCGTTCACATGCGTTCACATCTTTGGTTGATTTCCTGCATTTTCACTTTGCCTTTGCCAGTTTTCACTGCCAAATCATGGCCTGTCCTGGCCCCAAATTTTCGCTTATTGGTTGAAACCTTCAGGTGGAGCCGGTGAGTGCTGTATCAACTCGACGTGCGCCGCCCAAATCTGCCGATTCTCTGTCAAAGTCGGAAGCAATCTGCCAACAGGCCTGAATTCATCTGAATTCGGTAGAGTCTTCTAGAAATTGAGCACAGCTACTAGCTACTGGCTTGAGGCGAAGGAAATCCTGCAAGGAAATCGGCCTGGACCAATGGGTGACTGAAGAGAAAGAAACGGCGACCAGCCCCATTTCAAGGTGCATTTGCCTGCTGCAGAGGAGAAGGGGGTTTGGGTCTCCTGACTGGCATGACATGGACGTGTGCTCTGGGAAAGGTTCAGAAACACACCAGATTTTTGTTTGCACGTGTCTGTGGATAGCATGTCATTTACTGGTCATTGGTGTATTGTTGATTAAACAACCTCATGTTTTGCAGTACTACTTTAGGTTCTCAATGATCCTTTTCCGTTTTGACTCGCTTCATCACCTGTTTGACGCAGCATTTCCCACCAGCAGGTGAGAAGGTAAGATTCAGTACACGGCCTTGTGAGCACCTGTCCTTGTCCGTCATGTCGTTCGTGCAGCAATTGGGAAGGAACGTTGTCCGAGCCCAGCAGCGGTACGACATGGAACGGCAGCAGTACGAGGCCGAGACGCAGCGACTGCTGCAGCTCTGGGTGGCTGAGATCAAGGAGAAATTCATGGCCGAATGCGTCGAAGCATCTCACAAGCGGCACCTTTCCTGCACTATGGTGGTTGGCCATCCTGACCACCTCGCAGCCAGGGGTGCTGGCGGAGACCTGCTGAACCAGCTCTGGGGCATTCTGGCGGAGCTGGGCTTCCAAGATGGAAACGTTGCTCCTTTTGCTAAGAGACTAGCGCTTAGGGCCTGATTCCAGCTACTGTGCCCTTCTTACCGGCAAGTGGACCGCCGAAGATGCAACTTCCACCCGCACCACCAGCCCACAGCAGAGTCCCGCAGCCCGCGGTGGCACCTGTGTGACGTGCCCCATCTGCCACGAACATCGTCCAGCCGTGGTCCTGGTGCCCTGCGGCCACGTGGTGTGCCGCGAGTGCCATGGTTGTCAGAAGCTGCGGCAGTGCCCCATGTGCCGGGAGGTGATCGCATCGACCAGTCGTGGGCTTTTCATGGACTGAGCATCCTGAGCCCCGTTGGCTGGTGGTGGGCAAGGTCTTCTTGGGATGATTTTGCCTAGCGGCCTGGCACATGGCAGCGAAAAGTGCTGCAGTTTTGGACACTTGAGACGTTTGGTGGTGAGGCTTTGTTTGTCTGAAGCTGGATGGCCCGTCCTTCCTGAGAGAATTTTTGCGCCAGATATGTGTGCATAGCCACAAGTGCATGTCCTCTCATGATGATCATGATGTGATTGATAATTACTTTATACGGGATACGGCTTATACCATCTTATCCCACACTTTGCAGCATACCAAAATCTACATATAACTTAGCTGGGTAAGGCTTTCATATCCAGAACTCACATCGAAGATTGCACAAATTTGAACTTGGCTTCAGTTAATGCAGGAGAGGATTTTAGTTCACATTCCACTTCCCTCGAAGAGTCTTCACGGCACTGCAGTGCAAGTGCAGATTTTGCCATGCTGACTTACAATCTCACTTCTGCTCGGAGCCGGATGCTAGACCTTAGCACTCAGGAGGCTTCCGATTGACCATCCAATTTATAGCCCAGAAGCGGCTTGCTGATGCTTGTAGTGCATGTGAGAGAAGCGAGCAAGAAAGATGCAGCCTGGTTTTGTGCCAGTCAGCCGTTGCTTTGTTTCTACCATAGCCGTTGCTTCCTCACCTTGGATTGATGCACCCAGCAGAATCCGTGATGTTCCAATTTTTAGGGATCTGTCCCATTGGGTTTCCACGGATCCCTGTTGGCTGCCAAGACTTTTGCCAGGACTCTTGGCTGCCAGAACCTTCGGATGGAGTTTGGTGGAGACATTTGGTGAGGTGAGCCCGGACATTTGATACATTTTGTTGTGTTGTATGTAGACCCAATCAATATCCAAAGAATTCCAAACATTTGTGTGCCATTGCATGACATACATGATGCATGCATTCTGCAAATAAATCATCCACAAAGTGTTTAGGTTTAGAATCGTTGCAAACTGCAGTGTGAGCCGGGGTTTTCTTTGATGTTCCGAATTGTTCCGAGTTTGTATTTTTTTTCTTGTGCAAACGTTGCGCCTTGCAGATTTTCAGCAGTTTTCAGACTACCTCCCCACTGCCCAACAACCCCCACATACCCCCACCATTTCACGTTGTCTTGCAGTCTGGTGCTGCCCAAGAAACAAAAAGCATGTGGTCGCAGATGTGCGTGAAGAAGTTGACACAGGAGCCATTGCAGTGGAGAGCCCCCCGGATTCAGTGATCTGCATCTCAGATGGCTTGTTGAAAGCAATTGATAGGCTCTCCCCTGTTGATTTGGAAACCCCAATCCGCAATGGTGCTTTTGATGGAACTTCACTCGGTCTGGATTGCAGTGATTCGGTTTATGTCGTTCAGATTTGGAGACCATTTTCATTTCGCCTTTGTCAGTTTTCATCGCCATCATGGCCAGGTGGCGCCGGTGTGCACTGGAGCGACTCGACGTGCCATGGTCCCAGCAACATCTCAGAGATGTCCAGAGTGTCTCTGCCAACTTTCAAAGAGGTCTGTGACCAGCGGATTCTTGATGAAACTTGATGTTTTGCAGCAATTTGCTTGCGTGTTGCTTGCACATGGCTTCTTGCACATGGCTTCACCAGCTGTCTTGCGAAGCATTCTGCCACCAGTAGGTGAGAAACCCGGTTAAAATCTAGAGTGCGTCCGCGTCCCCTGTCTACCATGTCGTTCGCTCAGCAGTTGGGAAGGAACGTTGTCCAGGCCCAGCAGCGGTACGAGATTGAAAGGCAGCAGTACGAGGTCGAGACGCAGCGACTGCTGCAGATTTGGGCGGCTGAGATCAAGGAGAAGTTCATGGCAGAATGCGAAGCCGCCTCCCATCAGCGGGAGCTTCGCTGCACCATGCTGGTTGACTATCCCCGCAACCTGGGGTCCAGGGATTATGTTGACCAAAGCCGCTTGGAGCAGCAGCTCCAGGGCATTCTGGCAGAGCTGGGCTTCCAAGATGGAACCGTCACTCCTTTTGATAGGATTCATATGACTTATTTTACCTGTGCAGAAATGACCGCCAAATGGACCGTTGACAATGCGACTTCCACCACCCCAGGCCCAATTCCCACAGCCTCTGGTGGCACCTGCGTGACGTGTCCCATCTGCCACGAGCATCGTCCAGCCGTGGTCCTGGTGCCCTGTGGCCACGTGGTGTGCCGTGACTGCCAGCGTTCCAACCAGCTGCGGCAGTGCCCCGTGTGCCGGGAGGTGATCACTTCGGCCACCCAAGGCCTCTTCATGGACTGAGGGGGACTGCTGATGGTGGTTGGTAGGGATTTGGCTTTGGCAGAAAAAGTGCTGCAGTTTTGGATCGTCAAGAGATGTGGCTTCTTCTCTGAAACTGGATGCCTTGCGATCCTTTGTGCCTCACAGAGAGAGGAGAGTGGCACTTTCCACGAACAGAGAGCGTGGATTTTCTTTTCAAATGCTTTCCTCAACATTGCTGTCATTTTTTTTTCAAGACAGAGCCTTGGGGCTCTAGGGCTAGTTTGCTCAGTGATTCTCTTGACAAAAGTGGGAAGTATCCGGTCAGATGATTATCTCGGAAGAGAACATCGGATGCTAGAAAGACTCAGTCCTTTTTAACCATCCGAGTCGGTGCCCAAAAGCGGTATTCGACCTTGCCACAGTGACAGATGAGAAGTTAAAACAAAAGTCGGGTTTGGCTCCTGGGATCGATGCAACTAATCCAGTTGTGGAAGGGGGGAAGTCGAGACTCATCGCTTTCGAAGCTCGCCAGGACCATCTGCTGATGGAGCTGTTGGCCCCAGGCCACTGGAAGGAAGGGGGAAGGAGCAGACAACTTTTACATCCTTTTACAGAATACTCGTACATAAAAATCATATAAAATCATAAAAATACATTCCAACTCCTTGCCATTTGCAGTAGCACTGTGTGGAGTCTACGTCGTGGTAACCAATACGGCATGAAAACATGACAGTTCAAACCATGTGTGCTGTGAAAATTGTGGTTACACAGACAGCTGAATGGCGCTTGTTTCAATATCTGGACGGGGCCCATTGATATAACAACTCGGATTAGGAAGTGAGCAAGCATGGGGGTTTGTCATGTTTCCTTCGAATTTTGAAACGCACAGACTAAGTAGGCTTTTTGATGTTTTTACATCACCCATTCTTGAAGTACTACCACCACATTTCTACAATAATCTGTGCGTCATGCCAGCCCTCTCTTCAGTCCCTTGTCCAAAAGCACACAATTGCTAAGCAGTGGCGCCCGCATCTATGGCCCTGCTGGATCTTTCATGGCATGCCGCTTAATTTAGTAAATCTTCTGTTGATGATTTTGCAGTGATTTGCATTTAGTTTATCTGCCTGTATGACTATAAATCGCATAATTGGTTTTAACATGATTCAACTTGTTTTAGTGGCTAAGAGGGATCTTGCTGGGCTCCCGTGTCCCGTGTTTCGTGTGTCTTTCCTGTCTCCGCGCGTGTTTTGCCATCTTTGAGAGAACCGTGGCTTTGAGAGCAGGATGGGAAACCGGAGCAAACAGAAAAAACACACCAGAAAACCGAAATCGAAATAAAAACAACAAACCACAAAAAAACAACCAAATAACACCTGCATTATTCCCAGCATGTTTTCTGTTATATAATTTTTTTAGTTTGATTTTTTTTTTGGTGTGCCCACTAAAAGTAGACCCTACATGGTTGAATCTTTGCATAGGGGAGTGTAGCATGTGTACATTCTATAGCTACGTGTGTTCACAATCCCCAAGTCCCCCCAACCCCTAATTCACCCCCAAGTCACCCCCAAGTTCCCTGAAAATAGACCCTAAATGGTTGAATCATTGTAGCGCAAGATATTGAACATAATCCAAACGAGCAGAAAGCGATGCAGGAGAAGCAGATGTAAACTTCAAATGAGTTCTTTAGTTAGCATTTTGTGAGCGTTCTTTCGCCTGGATTGAAGGGGTCTGTAACCGTGGTATTTGTCTGGCGCAGGTAAAGAAGGAACGAAAGAGGCTCACCGACACCATGACCATTGCCAATTTTTTGAATTCGCCGTTTCCTCGGAACAACAAACAGATGAGTTGCCATGAGGTACCAGCGAGATAAATAGTCAAATAGTCGAGATGATGGATAGCCGCAGATCCGAGATATTCAACTTGCTGTTTGAATCTTAGGGAACTTAGGGGAATAAAGGAAGACTCAAAGGGATGCAGGGTGTGGAAACCAATAGACATTGGTGAGATGCAGTGACAGTGACAAACTGCAAGGTGTAATCTTCAGGGGCATCCCGCGAGATCCCCTGAGCGGCTTGCAGTGCAGTGGCGAGACCTGACCAGGCAATTGGATATTGAAATTTGGGTATGGATCAATACCTATGAAAATACCATTTTTACTGGGATGAACATCCATAAATCCCAGCTATTTTGAGGTGAACAAAAGGTACCAGGGTTTTGACCCATCCCCATTTGGCGAATGATTGTTTTCTACCGCCGGGTGTGGCAAAGCCATGCACCTACGGCGTGTTGGCCTCCGGGCTCTAGCGACTGAGTCAGGTAGTGTGACGACATGTGACACGACATGTGATACGACATTTGACACGACATGCGACGACTTTCATGGCTGCTTTCTGCCAAACAGGTTCATGTACAGGCCAGAGATCTTACATACCTACTCCTAGACATTGGGTCTTTACCATTGAGTAAGCCGGGCCAGACATTGAAATGCTTTGGCCTCTCCTACCCATGGAGATCAGCGGCAAAACATGGGAGTTCCAACGCGCGGAAGCGGCAAAATTCACAATCAAAGTGAGCCTACTTCATGTTGAGGGCCAACACAGGGATGCAGACAGTGGCACTCATTGTTGGTGTTGTGAAGCCGAACTTTCATATATATATTATATCATATTATATATATATGTATATATATATATATGTATTTAACTTGTATAGGAGCTGACAGACTGCCAGATATATTGCGATTACAGAACTGCATTCCTGCTACTGTACAATTTACATGGATTGTGTCGAGTGTGTCATATAGCGTGTGTGTGGCACACGGTGACGCTTGGCTCAAGAGCTTGGTTGTTGGCCTTGTTGTGTTGTTTGAGAACATCCTTTTGCTGTATGAACTCATGCAAGCTTCGTTCCTACATAGCCTGATCTTTGTTTACAGCCGCTTGGTCATCGAATTGAGCTGCCAATGTGGGGATCAGGGAAGGTTCTTAGGCCCAAGGCAAGTTGAGAGTTTTTGACGTCAAACCGTACGTAGAGGTGGGTCCCTTGGTCTCAGTGTTTAGGCTGAAGTCAAGGGCTTTGACTGCAGAACACATTACCAAATCATAGAAGAAAAGGAGGAGTATTCTGAAGCGCGATTTTGCTTCTAGCTCACAACAACAGAAGTTTCCCTTGAGCTGTTGTCACAATTCTAACTGAGCTGCGGACAGGGACGATGTCTGTATCTTTATCCACGACTTTGTATCCCTCGAGGTCATGTGATTCTAGCAGAACGGCCCCACGCTGCATTTTCTCTGACAGTTGATGAAGTCGAAGGCTCCTTGTTTGCATCTACAGTGCCTAGTGGGCCTAGTTCCATTACGTTCCAAAACGTCCAAAAACCGGACATTGATTTTGACGAAAAAAGTGGCACAGTGCTGAACTCCATCATATCCAGTGCTATTGGAGCTTGGATGAGCTGGCATGTGTCAAGTACAGTGTAGATTGACAGTCTTCGATCACATAAAGACTGGTTTCCAGTTCCCCCACCTCGGAAGTACGTCGCTCGGACGAGGTCACTCAATAAAGCTCCCTCCTCCAACACATCAGCAAGGCCTGACAGATAGACTCGCATGCAGCCTTCATGGAGCGGCCTGTGCACAACATGCGATGCAAGACTTGTGAGATCTGTTGAGGACACGGAACGCATTGTGTAAGACACCATGTAACACCCTTTTCACGCCTTCTGAGGTCAGAGCGCTTCAGAGAGGCGATCATACAATGTCTCTGTCTTGGCGCTGGATGAGAGCAATTCTTCAGGTGCACCTGACATGGATCGGGCAGATCTGCATGTGTGGCACAAGTCTCTTTTGCATTTTTTGTTTGGATTCAGACTCCGTCCCTGCAAGGATTGGATGATATTCTTCCTGGTGACGGGTGTCAGCAAGAGCAAGCATTGGTGAAGGCCCTACGAGGTCTTAGAGTCAAAAACATCTCGGATGTCCGAAAGTGTTCTTCTGGGAGAGGGTGTGTCACTTGGATGCCCAGCTGCATAGAAAATCGTTTTGGTTTGGGGATCCTTTTGAGAACTCTTAGGGCTGATTATATACTGTAATCACGAAAGCCAGCCGCTAGGCTAGGCGAAGTTATTTTTGCGAACAAAGTGAGTTTAGGGGTCTGGGGGCAGAGCGCCCCGAACGGATCAAAAATCACAGAATTAGGTGGTAGAAAAGGTGGACCGAGGTAAACTTTTTTAGGGTTATGTACCAGGTGGCAATTGGGTGACGGTGGGGTATCGATTCCCCCCTGGTCCGCCCTCCGAGCTGTTGCAATGGAGGGGAAAATGATGAGAAAAACAATGGAAAAAATGAGGGAATATGACGTAAAACAATGGGAAAAGAATGGGAAAGCAATGGAAAATTTGAGTAGAACGCTTGGAAAATTGATTAAAACGCGAGGAAAAACCGGAAAAACGGTGGAAAGAATGGAGAGAGGGTAAAATGATGCCAAGTAAAATTGAGGCTCCGATGTGGGACCATTATCGCGTACAGCACACATGAAACAATGGAAAAGCAATGGAAGAATTGCGGTTTCGATGTGTGACCACTATGGAGTAGAAGCACGGAAACAAAACCATGGAAGAAACGAGCAAAAACGTTTATACGGTGCAACGGTTGGGCTTGTGGGAGGTGCATTTGGGTAAGCGTTAGACACACTGGGGTAACATAAGGGTAATGATGGAGAAATCGAGTAACACCATGGCAAAACACTGGAAAAATTGATGAAATGGAAGGATAAATTGATAGCATAAACTATGGGGTAAACAATGGAAAAAATGAGGGAATATGACGTAAAACAATGGGAAAATAATGGGAAAGCAATGGACATTTGAGTAGAACGCTTGGGAAATTGATTAAAACGCGAGGAAAAACGGTGGAAACAATGAGGAGAGTAAAATTGAGGCTCCGATGTGGGACCATTATTGCGTAAAGCACGCGTGAAACAATGGAAAAGCAATGAAAAAAGGGCGGTTTCGATGTGTGACCACTATGGAGTAGAAGCACGGAAAGAAAACCATGGAAGAAACGAGCAAAACCGGTTATACCGTGCAACGGTAGAGATTGTGAGAGGTGCATTTGGGTACGCGTTAGACACACTGAGGTAACATAAGGGTAATGATGGAGAAATAAGGGTAATGATGGAGAAATCGAGTAACACCATGGTAAAACACTAGAAAAAATGATGAAATGGAAGGATAAATTGATAGAGACATCGCGTAAACTATGGGACGATTGAGTAAAATTGGAGGAAAAATTGTGAAACAAACACTGGGGAGACTGGAATGGAGGGGAAAATGATGTTGAGTAAAACTATCGAAAAGCAATGGAACAAATGTGGCTTCGATGTGAGACCATTACAGTAGGGATGGAAAAGCAATGATGAAGAAGTGGAGTAAAACAATGGAAACACAATGGAAAAATTGCGGCTCTGATGTCGGACGAAAATGATGCCAAGTAAAATAAGATAAAATAAGAGTGAAATGACGGACATCGATAGGATGGAACAACAATGGAACACTTGAGGCTCCGATGTGGGACCATTATCGCGTACAGCACGCGTGAAACAATGGAAAAGCAATGGAAAAATTGCGGTTTCGATGTGTGACCACTATGGAGTAGAAGCACGGAAAGAAAACCATGGAAGAAACGAGCAAAAACGTTTATACGGTGCAACGGTTGGGCTTGTGGGAGGTGCATTTGGGTACGCGTTAGACACACTGAGGTACCATGGCAAAACACTGGAAAAATTGATGCAATGGAAGGATAAATTGATAGAGAACTCGCGTTAAATTGGTAAAACGATTGAAAAATTGGGTAAAGGGTGCAGCGAGACAAAAGCCGGTGCGTTCCTGGCACCACCTCTCCTCGATCTATTCTGTTTCCAGCATCCTCCCTCTTCCTCTCCTTCTTCTTCGCACCCACCTTCGCACTCCCCTGGCTTTCGTTCCTCCCTTCTCAGGTTTGACTTATTTTTTGATGCTATATGATGCTATCATTGTTTTCTCGTTTCAGTTTCCTGCACTTGGAGGACTGGCTGTAGCGTGACGTCGATTGCATTGAGGGGCGAGGACCTTCGCCCAGCGAAATCCCTGAATTCATGGCCCTGGTTGTCATCGAGCTTCAGAGGGCTGCCGGATCTGCTCACCCTCCATTTGCGTGGCGCTTTGATCATAGGAAACCTCAATGTTTTGAACAACTGCAGCAAATTGCAGGACCTGAAACTCAGACAGACAAGTATCGGAGGAGATCTGCGAATTTTTAAGAGCTGCACCCAGCTGCAGCGCCTCGAGCTGGGGAAAAACACACACACGCACAAGAAATGGCGAGATAGACGAATGATTATTAGAGGAGATTTGAGCAGTGTGAGCAGCTGCAGCAAGTTGAAGGTGCTCAACCTGGCACACACGAGGATCAAAGGTGATTTGAGCAGTCTGACAAAGCTCATGGAATTGGAGCACCTAAATCTAGAAAAGACACCGATTGGGGGCCACTTGAAAACTCTGTGGAATTGCATCAACATTGAGCGACTGGACCTTTCTTTCACTCAGATCGAGGGAGACTTGCAAGATTTGCAAAAGTGGACAGCATTGAAGGAGCTTGACCTTTGCCAAACGAGAGTCACTGGAAGCCTGGAAGATTTGAATCACGCAGCAGAGCTGCAGGTCCTGAACCTTTCCGACACAGGGGTTGTCGGAGATGTGGCACAGTTGGCAGTGATGAAGAAGTTGAGACAACTTGATCTCCGCAACACTACGGTGGTGGGGGAACTTGAGAGTCTGCAGAACCTGAAAGAGCTTGATTTCAGTTCGGTGCGGGACTACTTTGAAGGAACACAGGTCAACGTCACATGTAAGCAGGAAGCAGCGTTAGCAAACGTCCTAAGAACGTTGAAGCCGCTTTCTGACAACTTGGTGGACTCATACCACATTGACGGTGTCACATGGACGCTTGTCTGCAAACCCTCCTGGGACGGCTTACATGCAAAGCCATTGAACATACTTAGAGGAGGGTTTAACATTTGGAGTTAACTGCTTTGAAATCTCATGACACGTATAAACATAGGGAAGTGATGATCAATAAAGGGGTTTAAACCCCTTATCAATAATGAGAGCCACTGCTACAAGGCAAATGAATCCAGTACACTCCAGTTCATTCGCCAGCTTTTTTTCTGCGAGGAATCGCTGCAGAGTGACAGGCATCTCAGTGCGATATTCATATTCTGACCCCTGTTGGGGCAGGAGATTTCAGGGTCTCAGCTTGTCAAGCAGCTTTAAACAGCTCCCGGATTTGCTTTACCTCCACTTAGATGACGCGCCAATGAAGGGAAACCTGGATGTTTTGGAGAACTGCACCAAGTTGAAGGTCTTGAAACTTCCAAACTCATGCATCGGAGGAAATCTGAACAGTTTGCAACACCTCACCCAGTTGAGACACCTCAACCTGAAAGGCATTGGGGCAGAGATCAAGGGAGATTTGCAAAGTCTTCAAAATTGCACCAAGTTGAAGGAACTTGCCCTTCCTCGCAGCATCACGGGGAACCTCAAGGCATTGCGCCTTGCCTCGGATTTGCAAGTCCTAGATCTTGCTGAGACGAAGGTGAGGGGAGATGTGGCAGAATTGGCAGTTGCTCCGAATTTGAGCACACTGGATCTGAGTGACACAGGGGTGGCCGGGGAACTTTATTCTCTGCACAGTCCGGCAAACCTGCGAATGGCCAAGGTGGGAGTTACAAGAACAGACATCAGAGGATGTTTGCAGGACTTCGCCTTAAGAGAGGTCCTGGCAGAGCTGGGCCTGAAGGATTCGGAGCTCAAGGACTTACATGAGATCGCTGGTGTCAAATGGAGACTTTGCTGCAAACCGTTTTTTTAAATTGGGATTCACACACGCAGGGTGTTGAGTTGCGACCTATGCTCCAAGGAAGGACTGTGACGTGATCAAGATCAGATTTCCTGGGCGTAGCGAACTCCATGGTCAATTGAGCGATTGGTTGCAACGGCTGACAAACTTGGAAGTTCTTGTTTTGAGCAGTGCCAACGTCACAGGAAGTCTGCAAGCCTTAAAGCATAATGCGCGGATGCGAAGGGTGGACCTTTCTGGGACACAAGTGTCAGGAGACATCGATATCATTTGCAACTTGGAGAGCCTGAAATACCTGGATTTGTCAAACACGCAGGTGGCCGGTGAACTGATCAACCAAAAGAATACAAGTTTCGGTAAAGAACTCACAACTCTCATGCTGGCAGATACGAATATTAGCTTTATGCTTTCACAGGATGCCTGGGCTTGCCCGAAGCTCGTACTATTGGATCTCAGCAGGTCTCCCATCAAAGACACTTCGCTGGGCGGATTTCTTCGGACTTTGGGCAACTGCAACTCGCTGGGAACGGTGATGCTTGCGGGGTGCAACCTCACAGGCACTATCCCAGACATTGCTGACCTATCTTTGGCAAACTCTTTGGTGAGCTTTGACGCGTCGTTCAACCACCTTTCTCAGGTACTGGTATATAGATCTGGGATCTGGGATTTTCTAGTGGAATCATGGGAAAAGATAAGACTATAGATTAGACCGGACCTTTAACAATCAAAACAAGATCTGTTGGGGAGGACTCAGGGGCCTCAGGGTGAAGATGCCTCCGCTTTTGGGAGGTCAAACCAGTGCTCAGGTGGAAGCTATTCCTCCCCGCTGCCAGAGGTTCTCCGTGTCAGGGAACGATGGAATCGGCTTTAAGTCAGGTGTCTTGAAGAAAGCCTTGGCTGACTACGTGTCCCTGGACCTTCGAGATCTTTCCTTAGCCAGCCCCAGTGACACCTGACAACCATATTTGCACGCCCGTTGTGTCAGTTGTGTCATTCCTACATGGCTGTTTCTTGCAACTGGGATTTGGCAGGATCCCCCAAATTGTTGTGGCTTGAAGTGTTCCATTTTGACATATTTTCTACACATGCCACAGTTCTGGGGCAAGGGCACATGCAGCTATTGCCCAGCAAGGAAGCCAAAGAGTTGTTCGATCTCAAACTGGTGCAGAAAACCAAGCACCGCATCCTGGTCGAGAAAGGGCGCGGATATGCATGTTGCCCGGTTTCTGAAATCGCATCAACCTTTGAATATGTAGTAGAATTGGAGTGCAAACAGAGATTGGTTGGTTGTGCCATCGTGACGGCAGTTGCGTGCTGCGTTTTACAGTGCCTGAGGTTCGGATATTGCAAACCATCGATTTGAAATTTCTCCGGACAAATTTGCGCCGCACGAACTATGTGCTTGCCTCCCTGGATGGAGTCTGTCTTCCCTGTTTGGGTCTTCTTTTGTTTAATTGATCATATTCTATGGTTTTATGTTTTATGTTTGATTTGGCAGGACAGGAGAAAATGCAAAGACATTGACATAGTTATATAATAAACACAGACAGGGACAGGGAGTGGAATTTTCATTTGACGCGTTGTAGGAGTGGGAACAGCACAAGCTGCCATCAATGCCCAGTCAATACCTTCAAGGAGGACGAAGAGGGCGAGTGTAAACCGTGTCCAGCAGGGAGTAAGGCGCCGAAAGGTTCAACAACTCGCGACGAGTGCAAGTGCAAACTCGGGGATCTCTTCAACACCACTGGCACTTTAATGCTTGGGCATTGATCGCCATTCATGGTATATGCAGCTCAATTGTTTCTCCATTTTGCTTGGGTTTCATGAGTTGTATTGGGCAAATTGTTCGTGGGGGAAGAGATGCGGCAGTTACATTAGTTCATGTGACATATGTGACCACATTGGTGGATGATGGCCCATTGGCGCATTGATACACTTATTTTTATTTTTATTTTTTGCAGTGAGGAAATGTGGCTGCCCTCCCGAACAAGCACTCCTTGATGACAGCTGCAGGAAATGTGATGAATTGCAGCTTAGCTGCCCATCCCCATGCACTGATGCTCTGTTGGCGCAGCCATTGCCCGGGCATGTTCGCCTGGGCAACCGATCGCGGGCCTTCAAGTGCATTTTTCCAAGCACCAGATGCAGAATGTCAACTCTCAATGCTTCGAAATGTAATGATGGATACATGGGCAACATGTGCATGGAATGTCGGCCTGGTTTTTATTCTAGTGGGAAGCTTTGCAAACAATGCACGGAAGTCTCATCATTTCCAATGTTCCAAAATCTTTGAAAAAGTTCAGCTGTAGCAGTAGCAGTTGTGGCAGTGGTCGCAGCTTTGGTACTGACTCTTGCAGTGCTCTGGATGCGGCGATTCTCTCAGAATGCTCAATCCGACCGCCCGACATCCCTGACCACGCTCAAATCGCAGCTGAAATCCCAACTGCCATTATTGCTGCAGATGGGTTTCTAGGTCGATTTATCCTCCTTGCCATTTCCTCTACAGAATGGGGGGGGTTGGGGTGCCTATTTTGAACCATTTTATGGGAATTGGTGGCCTTAAATGGGGTCGGACATACCATTTTGTAGTAATTTGTGGGTTTTACCTGGTTTTATCATTTTTGTTTTGAAGGCATGATCATTTTTGGGCACCAAGACCAACCATTTTGTAACAAACAAAAAGCCATTTTGTAGATGTTTTTAAGGGTATGATTTGGTGGTTTTAAAAAATGTGAATTAGTCATTGACAAAGAAAAATCATCTAGCCATTCTGTAGAGAACCCATCGTTTCAATAAATGTACCATTTTGTAAGTGCATGTTTGTGTTTGCAATGGTTGGCTCATATACACTTTAGGACGGAAATTTCAATTGCCCTGCCGTCCCAAATTAGTCTGTGTATAACCCATGGGGTATGTTTTTTCTAGAAAATGGTTAGGCCTGCTGCCTAGAGCCAACCATTTTGTAGACTGGTGTAGGTCTGAAGATAGACCATATTTTTATGATTGCGTTGAAAAGAGCAGTGGCAAAGAATTGTGATTGAATTTGTTCCTTCTGGATCTTGTCGGATTCTTCAGCCTTATCCAAACTTCGATACCGATTGTTCCCTGGAAGATCTGTGTCAACATAGCATTCTTCTCCTGATCTTCGTTTTTGCTTTGGAACATTTTGGAACCGTTTTTGTGACCGGAACATACTGGAACCGGAAAAAAATCCATCTTCAGAAGGATTGCCAGCACATTGTTGGCAAAAAAAAGGAAAATATTCATGCTGCAAAAGTTGCATGAAAAAAAATGGATCCATCTCCGAAAAGGAGGAGTGAAGACGACTAGAGGGTAAAAACCCTACAAAATGGCACTGGGAAAAAGGCAGTTGACGCTGAGGTCTTGCCAAGATAGAGGCTCTACAAAATGGCTCTGGGATTTTTATATGTTTTATAAAATCATGAATGCACTGGTTTGATCATTTTTTGACTAAATTGTCAAAATATTTGTGGATCAAAACAGGTGACAGGCACTACCATTTTGTAGAGCCATGGGTTATAGACCGACCATTTTGTAGGATGGAGACCCTGTACCGGAGCCATTTTGTAGAGACAGGGGTTGGCTCACTACAAAATGGGGCACCCCAACCCCCCCCAGGGAATGGCAAGGAGGATGTCGATTTATCATTTACCAAGTCCGTCTAAGTTGTGTGTTGTTGCAGAGTGCTTGATTTACTATGACCCGGAATCAGGCAACTTGATACTGAGCACCTTTGTTGCATTTTGTTGCTGTTTCATGGTCGCTCGTGTTGTATGAGGCCAGTTGTGGTCCGTTCTGTCAATCCTGGCAACTTCCCAGTCTGCATTTTCTGGCTTCGACGGTGAGCCGAGCCCCACCAATGTGTTCAAGACAGCAGCGGCCACATTCGATGCAAGCAACACCTGGGATTTCTCGACATCTTCGACCTTTTGGGAGGTGCCCTATGTACAGGTTGTGCAGCTTTCATTCTCAAATCTGAAGGACGCCTTACATGTGCAATGTAAATTTGACACTCGGTCTACCTTAGTCACCTCGAAGCGTGTTGGTGGCTGGGGTTTGTTGCTTTTCACAGCCTACATGTTGGAAGTGGTTCAATCCCAAGGTGTCGGGGGCAACCTTGCTGGAATTTCCGACAATGGATCATGTCTAACCATGGGTCGTAAGGAATAAAATCCGAGGAAGGGGCTACAGTGCGCTTGGCGTTTGCCCTAGCTTCTCCCCTCTTTCCTTTGCTGGTGCTGCTGTGCTGCTCTGTTTTGGAAGTCATCAGCCGCGGGACTGGTATTGCTGCTGCGCTTCAGGCAGGGGGGCTTGGATTTCTGGGCCTCAGATTTCAACGTCCGGACAAAAAGCAGCCAGAACCTGCTTCCAAGACTCCAAGACCGAAGGTGAGAGGACAAGGAGAGTACGCGTGACTATATGACGATATGAGATCTGATTTTATCTTAATCTTGATCCAGCTCTAACAAGACACATTGAGTTTATGGTCAAAAAGTGTGTCAGGGTCAGTTGGATCTAGAATCAGTGAAGTAAAAACTTTTGTAACTAGATATTCATTCATTGGATGGGCAGTGGCTGGACGGTCAGATCAACTGACTCCGAATTCCGCGGCTAGAGAAGGCAATCAAGCCCTTGATGTTTTGCTATGCTGTTCCTGATGAACAAACTAGTAACTAGTCCTCCTTCATCCCAGGGTACTAGTACCGCTGGTAAATTCAACATTGCACTCCTAGATGCATCCTCTGAAATACGCCTACTTTCAGCTTCAACTGTAGTAGTGGTGGGTGTAAATCCGTTTTGCAGCTAAAGAAAGAGCCTTGAACATCTCCACGCAGCGGTGCCATGTGCAGGCGCTTACAATTCTGTACATCGGAGGGGCATCCAGCTGTGCAGATCTTTTCGTTTGCCAAGACATTGATGGATCTGGAGAAACTTGTAGAAATTCACTATGGCCAAGCCAAAGACAGAAGTCGTTCATTTTAGGATATTTTTGGTTGGCAAATCCTCAGAGACCACCAAGCACCGCGCGCCTCATTTGGCTTTGTGGAATTTCGTTCTGTGTTTCGTGGGTAACCTACTGAAACTTGCTTAGTTAGTTCGCATATGTTTTGGGCCATATGCGTTGAACTAACTGGTCACATTCAGCGGCAAAGCTGTGCCATCTGTGAGAATCTTGCGGGACCTGGAAATTGTGGTATGTGCTTGCTTGAGCCAACTGGTGCATCCAAGGAAAGCCTGCCCAAGGAATTTGCCTTTCGAAAATCATTGCCATACATTGAGTGCCAAAACAGCTCTCCTGTAAAGACCCTTGTGGATGTGGTGGCCTATGTCGGCACTTTTTGCTACGGCATGGTGATTCCATTGAGTCTGCTGTACCTTTATGCTCGACAGCACATGATCTTGAAATCAAGCAGGATGACGGTGGCATGTGCCTCACAAGGGGACAATCTCAAAGTCTACCTTTACAAATTGCGGGAATGTGCCCTTGCAAAAGTTCCAAACAAGGATGACCGTTTCACTCGATGCTTGGTAGCATCGGCTGCAGCTTACGTCGCGGTCCTTTTTCATGGACGAGCACGCGTTTGGCTAGTGGATGATGCTACTTATATAGTGGTGAAGCCCGTCACAAGTACGCACCCAACTGAGCATGCTGCTCTTGATGTGTACCTGCTTGATCTTTTGGGGCCAGAAGATGCGCAGGAGACAAGCAGGGCTGCCCCATCTTGACGCCAGAAAGACCCAAGTTATCTATCCATACGACCCCCAACTTTCTGGCCAAGGGAATGGCCAACTTACTCGAAGTAAGAAAACTTGACCACCTTGAATGTGATGCAAAAAGGTTCAGAAAAAGGGTAGTTGGGGTATCAAACACAAAGGGCCAATTTCAGTGTCCGATGGAGACTACGGTGGAATTGTTCGCGGTCAAGTATAGTCAAGTAATTCACCACACTTTGCTGAGGTTGCCGCCCACACAGCTCACATGGATTTTTGGAAACTCACAGCCTGAAGCTGTTCTTGTTCTTGTCCTTGTCCTTGTCCTTGTTCTTGTTCTTCTTCTTCTTCTTTTTCTTCTTCTTGTTTGTTGTGTTGTTTGTTGTTGTTGTTGTTGTTGTTGCTGTTGTTGTTGTTGTTGTGGTGGTGGTGGTGGCTGTTGCCATCGCCGTCGCCGTCGCCGTCGCCGTCGTTGCTTAGATACTGCACAGCATGGAAGAAACAATGTCTTCAAAGAAAGAACGTCACTGGAAACGCAATGTTCTTGCTGACTGGACCAAAAGCAATGTTGTTCATGGTGTTTTGTACGTGCAGACCTTCAAAATCACTTGCAACTTATTTTTTTAAATTTATTACCACTTCGAGGCATAGACGTTTGAAAAGTCATCAGCAAAAGTCATGGTAAACTACAGATTTTTTTCTCCGATTGAAAGCAAGAAACGAATCAAAAAAGCGCGACATCGCGCTTTCTGTCGAAAAAGGTGCCTCAATCTTAGATTTCATGTTAGTGCCAGGACAGAAGCGTCCAGAAATAAAAAAACATGTGGTTCACCATGACTACATCCGCTTCCAGGAGCAGGCGAAGACGTTGAAGTGTCGATCCATTGCCGAGATGTTGACAGAGCGAGTGATCCTCCAAGACGTCATCCACACAGACAGAGTCCTGTTGGGCGCAAAACAGCTGCTTCTGAAATATATGCTCTGCAGCTGGGCATTCTCATGTTGATCCCAGATTGACAGATTGCGAAGGGATACCTTCCACATGAGGACACATCAACTCGGACATAGGAGGGAAAGGGATTCAGACATTAATGGAAGGTGGCCTTTGGACGGACGGGCTCGGCTTCTAAACAATAGTTGAATCAAATATTAATATATTTCATTCTTGAACAATCTTGGTTATTCGTGTTCCCACAAGCATCTTGGATGCTTGGGGTTCTCGTTTAGTCTCCTAACTGCGTGGGGAGCGAGCACGGTTGAATGAAGACTGCGGACGTACGGAACGAGAAGGGAAGGACGGAAGGAAATGGCAAAGGAAGAGAAGGACGGAATGGAATGAGCATGAGTTTTGAAATTTGGTTGATGGAAATGAGACAAGATATGCCAAGGCAAACATCTCTGGATGGAGATAGCGCAGAAACTCGTTGCCGTGGCCCTGGTGTCCAGTGTGAACAGCGTTGACAGCTTGCAGTTCTCCGTTGGAATCACTTTGACCATGGCAGCCACCAGTCTGATGGTGCAGCCATATCTGCAGCAGCAGGCCAGTGGGATGGCCGTATTACAATATGTTTTTTTAAGGTCATCGGCAGTATACCTAGGTCTAGGCCGTCCAAGCCCTGTGTCGAATGACAAACATGCCCTTTATCAATTGTTCGCAATGGTCTCCACCCTAAACTGGGGTACAAACCGGTATCATGATATTATATATTATTGTAAATTATATTGTATAGGTTTTGGTCAAGAAGTTCAGATTGTTGTTTCCTTTCAGCTGCCTGCGATTGCAAAATCAACACACAAGGTCAATGCGCTCCAGTGTTGGTGCTTCATTTGCTTGGCACTGGCAGCGTTGAGTTTCTTGGAAGTGCGCACTCGGTCTATTACATTTTGCGCGGTCATGATCTCAAGACTCGCGCAGTGTCTGCCTTACACAATTTCACGAGCAATCAGCTCAGCTGAGGTTTGCTTGGATTCGGTGCTTGGGTATGTTTTGCAATACCAGCTTCCCAAACAGATAGGGAAATTGGACCACCAGCCCGCCACCAACCCAACGAATTTTGATAAATTTTGATTGTTTGTTCGTTGGCGTGCTTAGTTGCCTGGTTTATTGTGGATGGATCGAGAAGTCATTTGAAGCTGTCCATTACCCATACATACCAGACAGACAGTCATTTAGCATGCTTGGCCATGACAAAGCATCGGTTCTGTGCGCAGTTTTTTTTGTCTGTAGTCTTCCACTCTGACTGAAAGAGTGCTTTGGTGCGCCAAGTCCAGCAAGACCCATCCACATCCGAACCAACGTGACCAAAGCGACCTGCCCGAACCAATCGCTTGAGGTTTCAAGTTCCAATGTCCATGGTCAAGCCGCGCTGCCTTGCTATTCCCCTTTGCGCTGAGCGCTCTCCAAGCCTTGCGACCTGACAATGTAGAGAGCTTGGCTATACGGATCTGGGAGGACAGCCGTGGGGGTGGAAAGCACCCATGTTTGTGAAAAACCCAGTCATGTCCCAACATGTCCCCATGCTCCAGTGTGAGAAACCATGAGAGACCTCGTTGCACTCTATCGTGCTCAGCTTACGGGAGTCAAGACAGGCATGGGCTCTGGCTAGACTGAAGCAGTCGGGACTGTAAGTGGCCCCTATGACCTTCCACAGGACAGAAAAGTACGTAGAAGCAAATCCTTTGCCCCGCATATATGCGCATTGCTACATTATCCGATGGCAGACTGTAGACCAAGACGTTCCAAGAGAGTGTGCCGCCGAGTGAACTCCATTCCCAAAAAACTTGCACTCGCGCCACAGCCCTTCCAACCCATGTGCGAAAAACCATGCTGCCACTAGAAACAGCAGGTTGGCTTTGTGTCCCTTCAGTGCAGGAACTGGAGCGCAGAATGGAAGAGTTGAAGAATGGCCAAAGTGTGGAAGTCACTGCGGAGACTGGGCCTAGCAAGGTGCTATCCATGAATACATAATATAATTAAATAATTTAAATACTATGATTATTAAATTATCGAAGGAAGTTTAGAAGTCAAACTTCCGACAATATGGACAGATGAAAAGCAGAGCAGGGCAGAGGCAGAGAGAAGAGAAAGATCAGAAGAGAAAAGAGTATAAGAGAAAGAATAAGAAGAAAGAAGATGGAGATGCGCGAAAAGGTAGGAAAGTCGCGATTCACTGTGTTTTTCCAATGATTTGTGGCTCCGGGGGGT